GTATGCTTCGCTGATTGGCTGGCTGACGAACTGCAGTTGATTACCAACACGCTGATTGAAAATGGTCACCCCCGAAGGTTCATCGAGAAACATAGTCAAGTGCGACCAAGGGATCTAGTGCACACGATACCCAAGAAACCTGTAATCATTGAACTGCCATGCAAAGGTGAGGTCTCCTCGTGGAGGACCACAAGGTGTCTGATCTGTGTCATGCAGACAACTTACTAGGAAGTCAAGGTCGTTGTCAGTAACAAAACCCAAAAACTGCCACTTCCTTCTGTAAAGCAGGTTCAGCCTAACGGGGCCAAATCGCATTGCATTCACCAATTCATTTATGACTGCGGCGCTAGTTACATAGGCAGAACCGATAGAACATTGAGTTCCCGAATGAAGGAGCATGTACCGAAGTGGGTTCAACGTTCGACCGCGCAGGAAACTGGCCAGAGTCAAGCTGCTTGTCTGCATAAGCCATCAGTCTCTTCGATCGGCCGACACTTATTGACCACAGGTCACCGAGTCGACATCACTTCGGTGTTCATAATACTATTCCAGCAAACCAATCCTCGCCTCCTCCGTTTCACAGAGGCGACTGTAATTAACCGAATTAAGTCGCTGCTTTGTGTTCAAAAAAATTATTGGTCAGCATTGGACTGCCCTGAGGATAAGGGTGATAACCCTGTCTCGCTTATCGTGTGGTGGTCTGTTTGTTTGTTTGCATGTATATTTGGTCAATATTTTTTTGACGACGTTCTATTAACTGGCCACGTTGCTTACACCAATTGCGCTTATCTTCGGTAATTTTGTTGCGTTTTGTGGCATTTTAAGTAACTTGTGGACATTTCTTCCTTATCACGGATTTGTTGCTAACCAAATTACTTCATATGGTAATTTAGCGCAGAGTTATGCCACCGTACCTGTCTGCATTATTGGATTTATTTTATTTCAGCTTGTCGTTTAAGGTGAATGGCTGTTGTTTGATATCCCTGGTATGGTTGCGCTTGATGTGTATGTTGACAAGGTGCCTACCTGTCTATTACCCACTACATCGTTCATACTGGCTCCAGGAGACAGTTGGTCGTTGCTGGAGGGGACGGGGTGCACGGTTCTTGTGGCCGTGCTAGGCTCAAAGAGCGGTTCCATGCACTCAGTGTGGAGCGGACTACGGTCCAGCCACCGCCTTGTGTGCGCTTGATTCCCCAAATACAGCGTGCTTGTGTTTGCCTGTGAAGGAGTGTGGGCCGGCTCCGTTGATGAAACTTGGTTCCCATCCGCATGCCTCCCGGTCTTATTCCTTCGGGTTTACACTGGATATGTGGTATGTGGTTGGAGCTGTGGGTGGTGCAGCGCAAGCCATCCATGGTCCCTCTGTAGGCGCAGGCGTCCTGTGGCTTGCCACAGTGACAGGCAAATCCGAAACCGGATGCCGCCAACCATGTATGTATGTGTGCCCCATGCTGAGGCTGATGTTGCATTCTTGATGCTTCTTCACCGCAGTTGGGCTAAACCAACTTACACTTAAACTAGGTCTTTTTAAGCTGGATAAATTTCATTCCGCTTTATTTGGTTTGTTCTGCCTCCCTGAATAATGTTCTATTAACTGGCCACGTTGCTTACACTAATTGCGCTTATCTTCGGTAATTTTGTTGCGTTTGTAGCATTTTAAGTAACTTGTGGACATTTCTTACTTATCACGGATTTGTTGCTAACCAAATTACTTCATATGGTAATTTAGCGCAGAGTTATGCCACCGTATCTGTATGCATTATTGGATTTATTTTATTTCAGCTTGTCGTTTAAAGTGAATGGCTGTTGTTTGATATCCCTGGTATGGTTGCGCTTGATGTGTATGTTGACAAGGTGCCTACCTGTCTATTACCCACTACATCGTTCATACTGGCTCCAGGAGACAGTTGGTCGTTGCTGGAGGGGACGGGGTGCACGGTTCTTGTGGCCGTGCTAGGCTCAAAGAGCGGTTCCATGCACTCAGTGTGGAGCGGACTACGGTCCAGCCACCGCCTTGTGTGCGCTTGATTCCCCAAATACAGCGTGCTTGTGTTTGCCTGTGAAGGAGTGTGGGCCGGCTCCGTTGATGAAACGTGGTTCCCATCCGCATGCCTCCCGGTCTTATTCCTTCGGGTTTACACTGGATATGGGGTATGTGGTTGGAGCTGTGGGTGGTGCAGCGCAAGCCATCCATGGTCCCTCTGTAGGCGCAGGCGTCCTGTGGCTTGCCACAGTGACAGGCAAATCCGAAACCGGATGCCGCCAACCATATTTGGTCATGTCCTGGTACATGATTAAAATCATGGGAATCGAAGGCGGTTGATCGGCCTGCATGGCGCGATCTAATCACAAAGGCAGTTGCTGAAGTGCGGGAGAAAGCCCTCATGCATGCAGAGAAGAAGCGGCAGCTGCGGAAGCGGCAAGCACCGATGGATTGTACTCCATCGACATCGAGTGGATGGTGCTGTAGAACATGCGGTCGCGAGTGCCTTAGTCAGGCAGGCCTAGTGAGCCATGAGAGAGGTCACTCGGGACCACTGCCGAAGCGACGACGGGTCCCGCAGTGAACGTGGGCAGCACCGGCGCAGCGTTTGTAGGCACGCTGAATTCAATTTACTAACCGCGTGCTTGCATGCTAAGTCTCTTTATTTCAGGTGGTGGGTTTTCGGTTCTCTCCTAATGCCTTTCTTTCTCATATAAATGTCTAGTGGGCCATGAGCTGTGCCATTTGGGGCCACTACAGAAGCGACGATGGGTCCTGCAGAGAATTACGACGAGCAGGCACAGCGTTTGTAGGCACGCTTAATTCGATTTACTAACCGCGTGCTTGCATGCTAAGTCTCTTTATTTCAGGTGGTGGGTTTATAGTTTTTACTTTAATGCTTTTCTTTCTCATATAAATATCTCCCAGTACTCTTTTCCATTAACTTGCACACATCGCTTCAGCCAATTGTATTCGATTTCCATAACATTTTTGCGTTCGTGGCATTCCGTGAACTATAATTCCTGACCTCGTGCACTTAGCTAGGATTTGTTTGTAAACAACTTATTACGTATGCTATTTAATTAAGGTTTATGTCACCGTTTCCTTATGCATTAATCGAGTTTTTCTCTTTTTCTTTCTCTCTCTCAAGTGATTGGCTGTTGTTTGATATCCCCGATGTGGTTGCGCTTGCTTTGTACGTTGACAAGGTGCCTATCTGTCTATTACCCACTACGTCGTCCATACTGGCTCCAGGAGACAGTTGGTCGTTGCTGGAGGGGACGGGGTGCACGGTTCTTGTGGCCGTGTTAGGCTCGAAGAGTGGTTCCATGCACTCAGTGTGGAGCGGACTACGGTCCAGCCACCGCCTTGTGTGCGCTTGATTCCCCAAATACAGTGTGCTTGTGTCTTCTGTGAAGGAGTGTGGGCCGGCTCCGTTGATGAAACGTGGCTCCCATCCGCATGCCTTCCGGTCTTATTCCTTCGGGTTTACACTGGATATGGGGTGTGTGGTTGGAGCTGTGGGTGGTGCAGCGCAAGCCATCCATGGTCCCTCTGTATGCGCAGGCGTCCTGTGGCTTGCCACAGTGACAGGCAAATCCGAAACCGGATGCCGCCAACCATATTTGGTCATGTTAATTCTTGGCTACCAAGCGGTTGCCACTCATAGTATGCCACATTCGTTTGTGCATTTGATTGAACAATTGGGTGTAGTGATCAACAATTATCCCTGGAGCCCAAGTAGTCTACAACCTTTGCTCGTTTTGGAATGCAGTTTGTAAATTCGGTGTTCAAGACCCAACAAACTCTGTTGCAAGTGTCCTAACGTTGCCTCGTCCATGTGTAAACTGAATAATTCTGGCAAGTCACTGACTAGCGATCAACATGCTGATGTTGATGCCACATGTTCGGTTACATATATTAGTCACAAGAATGAGTGTAGCTATATTTCCCGGTGTAAATCGCTCATTCTGAAGTTAGGATAAGTCAGCTACTATCGTGATAAGGTGCGGAAGAGCAAACGGTCCTGCTACGATTTAAGTTAGAAATGGCCAATCATCTAGATTGACTTAAAACTAGGTTAGTCCAACTGTGGTGGTACGGTAGTGGTTAAATAAATATTTAATCGGAAAATAAACCCATGCACAGAAACACTTGATTTGTTGTGAAGAATAGCTGCAACCGAGATGTATGATGACAGATTGTTAGTAAATTGTAAGCGGTAAACTTACGATGAGAAATCCAGGTTGCAAGGGAATATCGTACGTTCAGCAAAACACCTTACCTGCGCCATCTGCTGAGGCTCTTGATACCCATTATCTACCTTCAAATGATTAACTATGCAATGCTTAATGTTTTCATTACAATTCACACCATGGGTATGGAGATTAACTCGTTCATTGTGTTCCCAGCCATATCTAAGTGGTCACATTCTAAACCCCGCTGTGAAGATGTCATCGTGCCCAGGTGTCCCACCACATACTCATTTGAGAAATTAGATAATTAGATGTATTGCAAGGTACTTTTTGCCAATTTGCTAAAACAGTTTGCACACTCTCTCGAAAGCCGATGGTAGAACAGGGAGCAGTGGCATTTACTACACGTGTTAGTGATGTGATAGCGTCAAAGGGGCCATCAGGGAATGTATGATATTATCGTCTACTAACGCTTATAGCAGACAGCATCTACAATGCGCAGGAACCATAAGTCAGCTGTGTTTTGCGGTACATTTATTTATGCATCATTCTTCCTGGTAACCATACTGATGACGTTTGCTTTCGTATTTCCATATTTCTCCCAATCTATTGTTGATACCCACACTGACTAAATTTAAGGTTGCCGTTTAGGTTCACATTCAAACGCTAACTAACCAGTGACAGTCGTATTGGTTACTTATAATGTTACTTTCGATTTTCTAAAACTAAAGGCATATAGTTGTTATACTTTCATTCAATCCAAACTCTTACATGTATGTAGCGTTATAGTTCATGAGGGTTATTGTTTCTCCATCTAGTTTGTTGTGGTCCATACACAAGTGTGAACAAATGCCCATTCGCAACACTGCAGTACTGTAACTCGAACCAGGGACCTTTGGTATGTCAATTGGTATCTCACGCTGAATGAGTAAGTTGAAGCCATTTAGAAACACGGATAAGCACCACACTTCAGCCAGGCAGACTGATGGCATTTTCACTCGCGTAACACCATTATCTGCTGGCTCGATGTCTAAATGGGACTCGCTTAAAGTACAAATCCGACTAACATCTGTTCATGTCTCGCTACGTTCCCACTTGACAGATGGATCATAGTACATTTCATCTCGTATGATATCGTGTGATATTTCGGATTGCAATCTGATTTCAAGGTAGCCACGTCAAGTGTCTGTACTGCGCACTGGGATTGCGACGAGTCATCAACTTCGATTCACGGACAGCGGCAACACAATGTGACATCCGAATCGAAATGTTTGGACACAGGTCACACTCTGGGCAATGATGAAATGGTCGATATGTGCTAGCGCAGATAATGGATGATTAAGGGGACCATAACTAGTCACACACGACTGACTGCATGTGAATTCTCGCTTACCTCTCGGAGAAGAGAAAAGCGGACCGGCTGTGGCTTACCTTCAGACTGAATAGCTTGCAGCTAATATAAAAGACGACATTTGCAGCAAGCACCAACGATAAGTGATCACTGTTCCACGGTAGTTTTACTCCCTTTGTAACGTTATCAATATTATTAGCTTCATACTGCTAATCTTGTTAATAAATTCTCCATGGTGGCGTCTGTTCTGTTTGCACCACGATTGGACCACCACAGCTCTAGCGACACTTCATTTCATGCATCTCTACTTGTCTTCGCACATGTTGCTGCATTTTCACGCATTTCATGCATTTTATATCATTCTGTGTCATCGCATCTCTTTCATTGTATCTCTTGTGACCACATTCTGGATTTCTTGGTAACACTACACACATAATTCTCGCACTGCTACTGAGTATGCGAAGTCCAATGCAACATAATAGCACCCTGCGCCGACGTAGTTCGTTGGGCAATATTGGTGTAGGTTTCACCTTGTCTCTCACACACTGTAGGGTGTCTAAGGGACATGTAACCAGCATTGATCATTTGCTTGTTTCCCGGTTCCATGGCACTCCACGTTCCTCTGTCCATGTCCCCATCTCGTCTCAATCAACTTTTTCATCCCAAACCCCGAACGAGGCAAATCCAACCATATCTCCACCATCGACATCAAGAGCTACACGTGGCCGCAGACCAGCACGCCAAACATTCAAAGTCGGATGGTGGAATGTGCGCACACTGCACGATCGACCTACGCGACGAACCGCATTAGTCACGATGGAACTTGCGCGGTGTGACATTAATATCGCAGCGCTGAGTGAGACTCGACTGCCTGATCAAGGTAAAATGCGAGAGAATGGTGCTGGGTACACTTTCTACTGGATTGGAAATCCCGACGCAGCACCACGTGAACGAGGCGTCGGATTTGCAATCACTGACCGCCTAAATAGCCGTTTGACGGGAGAGCCGATTGGTGTCAGCCCACGGTTGATGTCGCTCCGTACATGCTTCAGACGTGGTAAGTTCGCAACATTTATTCACACAAATAGTCCCACCATGGGTTCTACAGAGGACAGAAAAGATCAGTACTACTCACAATTGTCCGCTGTTATAAAGTCTGTGCCAATGAATGGTCGACTATTCCTGCTTGGTGACTTCAATGCACGTGTAGGGTGTGATGCCACAGCGTGGGCTGAGGTGATCGGGCGACACGGGATTGGGCTAGTAAATGGAAACGGAGAGCGCTTGCGTTCCTGGTGTGCTACACTTGGCTTGACGATCACGAACACTCAGATCGCTTTGTGTGCCAGTGAAATTGCTACATGTACCCACCCACGGAATAGTCATGCTCACTTGCTGGACTACGTCATCGTACGTCAACGGGACATGCGTGAAGTGTGCATAACGCGAGTAATGCGTGCAGCTGAATGTGGGATTGATCAATGCTATATATGTATATATATATATATATATATATATATATATGTATATGGTTGGCGGCATCCGGTTTCGGATTTGCCTGTCACTGTGGCAAGCCACAGGACGCCTGCGCCTACAGAGGGACCATGGATGGCTTGCGCTGCACCACCCACAGCTCCAACCACACACCCCATATCCAGTGTAAACCCGAAGGAATAAGACCGGGAGGCATGCGGATGGGAACCACGTTTCATCAACGGAGCCGGCCCACACTCCTTCACAGGCAAACACAAGCACACTGTATTTGGGAATCAAGCGCACGCAAGGCGGTGGCTGGACCGTAGTCCGCTCCACAATGACTGCATGGAACCACTCTTTGATCCTAACACGGCCACAAGGACCGTGCACCCTGTCCAATCCAGCAACGACCAACTGTCTCCTGGAGCCAGTATGGACGAGGTAGTGGGTAATAGACAGGTAGGCACCTCGTCAACATGCACATCAAGCGCATCCACCCCGCGGATATCAAACACCAGCCAAACACTTGAAAGAGAGAAAGAAAAAGAGAAAAACTCGATTAATGCATAAGGAAACGGTGATATAAACCTTAATTAAATAGCATATGTAATAAGTTGATTACAAACAAATCCTAGCTAAGTACACGAGGTCAGGAAGTATAGTTCACGGAATGCCACGAACACAAAAATGTTATGGAAATCGAATACAATTGGCCGAAGCGATGTGTGCAACTTAATGGAATAGAGTACAGGGAGATATTTATATGAGAAAGAAAAGCATTAAGGTAAAAACTGTAAACCCACCACCTGAAATAAAGAGACTTAGCATGCAAGCACGCGGTTAGTAAATCGAATTCTGCGTGCCTACAAACGCTGTGCCGGCTCGCCGTAATTCTCTGTAGGACCCGTCGTCGCTTCTGTAGTGACCCCAAATGGCATAGCTCATGGCCCGCTAGACATTTATATGAGAAAGAAAGGCATTAGGTGAGAAACGAAAACCCACCACCTGAAATAAAGAGACTTAGCATGCAAGCATGCGGTTAGTAAATCGAAGTCAGCGTGCCTACAAACGCTGCGCCGGTGCTGCGTACGTTCACTGCGGGACCCGTCGTCGCTTCGGCAGTGGTCCCGAGTGACCCCTCTCATGGCTCACTAGGCCTGCCTGACTAAGGCACTCGCGACCGCATATACTACAGCACCATGCGCTCGATTTCGATGGAGTACAATTCATTGGTGCTTGCCGCTTCCGCAACTGTCGCTTCTTCTCTGCATGGATGAGGGCTTTCTCCCGCACTTCAGCAACTTCCTTCGTGATTAGATCGCGCCATGCACCACGATCAACCGCCTTCGATTCCCATGATCTGCAATCAAGATTAGAACGTGTGAGGCTCACTTTAATCATGTTCTGGTCACGTAACTTTGGTTTCCCCACGTGCCGCTTCCCAATACTTAGCTGACCGTATAAAAGTTGTTTCGGTATTCGCGCCGAATCCATCCGGCTCACATGACCGAGCCATCTCAGGTGTCGCAGTAAAAGTATGCCGTCCACTGCATACATCCCACTTCGGCGCAAAACTTCCGTGTCTGCGACTCTGGCCCCCCAGCCGATCCGCAAAATTCGTCGCAGACACTGCTGATGGAACCGCTCGAGATATCGCACATCCCGACGGTACATCGTCCACGTTTCACTGCCGTATAGAAGAACGGACAGTACCATGGATTTGTACACCATCAGCTTCATGCCAATGGTAAGCTGATGGTTGTTCCACACTCGGTACTCAAGCTTCCCGAATGCCGCTGCCACCTTCGACACGCGATTACGCAACTCAACGTGTAGCTGCTGATCAGTCGACATCACACTCCCAAGGTAGCAGAAGCGGGAGGTGGTTTCCAATACTTCAGCACCAATGCTGATTCGCGGCAATATTGAAGATCGCACATCCGGTGAAGGCTGAAAGAGACAGACAGTTTTGCTTGTGTTGATGGTGAGCCCGAATTTGGCCGCTGTCGAAGCCAGAGCACTAGTCATGTGCTGCAACTCAGCCGCGCTGTGTGAAAACAACGCACAGTCGTCAGCAAACAGCAACATACGGATAGTTGTCTCACAGACTAGAGTTCTCGCACCGAAACGACGGATGTTCAGCAACCCACCATCAATACGGTGCTCCACACGAACACCGTAAGCACAAGCGGCATCAAAAGCACAAGACAACATTGCATGAAGATAGATATTAAACAGGGCAAGAGCTAACACACAGCCTTGCTTCACACCAGAGACAACTGTAAAGTCATCAGAGGTCTCTACACTCAGCTGCACCCTCGCTCGCATACCACTGTGCAGACATTCAATTAAACTTACAAACTTACGCAGGCAACCAAACTTACCCAACACCAGGCACAATGCCTCGCGGTTCACCGTATCAAATGCCTTGGTGAAATCAACAAAAAGCGAGTACAATGGCTGGTGTCGTTCTCTGCAATTCTCTTGCAACTGACGAGCCGCAAACACCATATCTATAGTGCTGCGACCCGAACGAAATCCACACTGCTCTTCCGCCACGTTAGGTTCCACAATCTGACTCACGAGGCGATATATATATATATATATATATATATATATATATATATCACAGGCCAAAAGCAAAAATGGCAGAGTGCCACAACGCATGAACCAACATAATAATATAACTATGATAAAGAAATAGAGAAAGTAAAATAAGTGTGAAATTGTAGTCATGGGCGCAGAGTCCCACAACACCTGCGCCATTGCCCACGGAGTCTTGACATGTCCGAAAGGGTATTCAGCCAAGTGTGTTCATGGTCCTTACGCCACAAACCGGGGAGTCGAGAGAGGCCGAACACAGTCAAAGTTGACGTCACATTCTTCATACTTTGACCCAAGTCATTTGCTGGTCACCTTGTCTTCGCTTCCAGCCGACTTCTGTGCGCACAGAATGAACGGTGAGTAAACGCTCAGTAGGCATACGAAACATGTGCCTAATTCACCGAAGTCTATGCAGCGAAATTATGTGGCTTAGCGGCCTGCAACTTATGTCCGAATTGAAAATCCTTCGGCGACCATCCTCATTACTTATATGGTGA